GGACACTGACGTCCGTGAGCTTTGGTGGGTCACTCAACTTCTCAGTGATCAGTACCGCACTTGAAAGTCCTGGAACTGGAGGTGAGAGTGGCCAATTGTACCACTTCCCTGAGCATTCTCAACCCACCCACGCTTCCTAAGCCGAGGGACAGGCTGCCAGTTGATTCTGAATCATAATAACCCCGGAAGACAGAGCAGAAGGGCTTTGGAGGCGGCTACCTTTGTGGGATCAGAGCTTCATCTTCCACTGATGGGTCAGTAGGAGCCATTGACCCTCTGGCTAGCAGACAAGTGCTTAACCACTGCCACAGCAGGGCTCCTCTGAGAATCCCAGCCGGATTAATTACCCACGTAGGGACTGACTGATCACTTGGAATTAAATTTAAAGTTGGGGTCACCGCTTGTTGCTGCAGCGTTCATTCCAACTCTTACAGACCCCAGGTGTGTCAGGACAGTACTGGGCTCCATAGGGTTGTCGTTGGCCGACAATTGGGAACTCTACGAAGGCACCTTCCGGTGGCTTTGCATTTTCATCTTTTCAGTTAGTCGGTGGACATAGAATCCTCAGGCTCTGGGACGTTGGGGAGACTTGGCTTTCAGTAACCGTTTATTTTCTCTCACAAGCCTTTCTTGAATGTCTGCTGTGTCCTGTGCTCTCTTGTTCTTGTTCGGTGCCGTCAGATGGGTTCTCACTCAGTGATGTATGAGTCACTACCACGTACATACGTACGACGGAATGGATCGCCGCCCAGTCCTGTGCCACCCTCACAAGTGTTCTTGTGTATGAGCCCGTTGTTGCACCACTGTGTCAATCCCTCTAGTCCAAGGTCATCTTCTTTTTCACTCCCCTTACTTTACCAAACATGATATTATTTTCCAGCAACTGGCCTCTCCTAATAACATGTCCAAAATGCCTGCCATGAAGTCTCGCCATCCTTGCCTCTAAGGAACACTCTGACTCTACTGTTTCCAAGACAGATTTGTTCCTTCTTTTGACAGTCCGTGGTACTATCAATATTCTTCACCAGCATCGTAATGCACATCATGGTTTGCTCTAGAGATACGAAACTCCTGCTGCCCAAACCTTGATGATCATCATTCCAGCATCATGCTTTGCTTAGTCCAACCACCAACCCACTGTAGCTGTCCTCCTCAGTGCCTGCCTTGTATGGAATCCTGCAGTGAGCTCTCATGGACCAGAGCCCTTCTTGAATTTAAGATGATCCCCTCTCTCTCTCTTGTGCATACTTTAAGGTCGTCTACAATTTCGGTCCTCACTTATCTGAGCTATACTGCTTTCCTCCCTTTCCAAAAACACGTCAACCAGTACCGAGACGTAGAACTCAGCCCAGGGTCCTGTGACCTCTCTTGAGGTTATTTCTGTCACTTGAAAGGAGAACAAGGAGAAATGTCACATAAAGACAGTTTTGCAGGGTGCAGGGAACAACCTCTAGGAGGTTTTTTTATTACAGTCCCACCCCCTCCCTCCAAAATAGTTTCACTATCCAGTGGGGGGAACACCAGGGTCTAAGATTTTGCAGCACGAAGGCCACCCATCAAATGTGTCTTCATCGTAATGTAAGTGTGAACATCTGAGCCTTCGAAGCAATGCCGGACCTTGGAGCTGTGGCGCTGGTCTCTGTGCTTGCCGCGTAGTTGAGTGGTTGATGGGCTGTGTAGCTGCGTTCTCTCATCGTTCCCTCGACGATCGTTTAGTGCTTACTTGATTTTGACTTCAGATTTATTCTCCACTTTTCTTGGTGTACACAAATGCACAGGAAGATAAATAGCTAAAAATCAGCTACAGGCAGAACACTGTGTGCATTTATGCATAGTTAGGTTTAGACTTACACATACAAATATGTACAAATTGTACATATATAGACTTCAAGTTAGATAATCCCAAGAAAGAAACAAAGTGTCTTCTCATTTTCACCACTTAAAAGATGTCAAATGTATAAAACAATGGCTTCTCTTTTTCTAAGTCTCAAGTGCCAAGGCCCATGCTCACCCTCATGATTACAAGGACAAGTCTCGGATGACTGTTGGCGCATTATCACGAGCACCTCCGTACTTAGGCACAACGATCACGTCCCCACCGCACAGCAGACCTTGGCAAGAGCGGTTACCCCTGGTTTCCTGTGGACAGGCTCATCACACTGTTGATTTCTTTTGTGGGAGGTATGGGGTTGTGGACTCTAAGATATAGCGGGCTTCAAAATGTCATGGGAAAATGGAATAGAAAGAGAATGGGTTTCCTCCCAAAACTTTTTGTTGTGAAGTTAAGGCTTATAGAAGATCGTTTTTATATTTTGCAATTCATACATAACCTGTTTCATTTTGCTCATTGCAATTCTCACCCCCTCCGTGTGTTTCTGGCCTTCATCACTCCTTCTTTCCTAACCCTTCTGAACTTTGTCCTGGAATAAATTCCACCGTCTTGACCCAAATGAGGAATTCTTCTAAGGTGTGTGAACCCCACTATTGCCATGGTGTCGCTCACAGACAATCTATTGTTTGGCTGAAAATTGAGCCACGGGGTAAGCTCAGTTTCAGACCCAAAGTGTCTCCAAGAGTCATACTCTCTAGGGTCCGACCAGTCTATATCCAGTCAATAGATCTGGTGATGTAGAGCGTTGTTCCATAGCCCCCGTCCCCCCTCGATTCTAAAGCGGTCCCTTTCAGAGCAGTTGGTAGAAGTGGTCAGGTGCCATCTAGTTCTTCTGATCTCAGGGTCATGGAAATTGATGATAGTGTGGTTCATCCATTGGGCCGATTGTGTCCATGTGTCTTCCATTTACATCACTCTTCTTTCTTCTAAAACAGAGGTTCCCAACCTGTGGTTTGCAACCCCTTTTGGGGTCCATTGACCCTTTCACAGGGTCGCCTGATTCATAACAGTAGCAAAATTACAGTGATGAAGTAGCAACGAAACTAATGTTATGGTTGCGGGGGTGGGGGAGGTCACCACAACCTGAGGACCTGTGTTAAGGGTCAGTTGCATCTTAGATGGCATCTAGGAGCCCTTTTGAGCTCCCAGTCGGCCACTCACCAACGCAGGATGGAGAACACTGTCTTGGTGGACAGCGTTATGCCACTTGACCTTGGTGTCCCCTGAGCACTCGGCCTGAGTGTCTCATTCCCCAAACTGGTCAGAATTGACTCAATGGCAGTCAGTTCTTAGTTTGAGAAATGTGGGAGGGGAGAAGACAGGGAGAGGGAGGCGAGGATTCACCCCCCCTAATTTTTTTTTAATTTTTTTGCATTGTTGATGAAATATAGCATATTATATTTTTTAGTACAAATTTTATATTTTATATATATAAATATTTATATAAATTTTATATTTGAGTACAAATCTCAAAGGTGTGGTGTTGACTGAAAAAACAGATTGATTCCCCCTTTCTACCCCACCTTCCCTCCACCCTCCGTATCACCACTCTCACCACTGGTCTTGAAGGGATCATCTGTCCTGGATTCCCTGTGTTTGGGGGACAGACTTCAGAAAAGTGGGTGAAGGGAGACGTCGGACAGTGTAAGACATGACAAAATAGTGATACTTTATAAGTTATCAAGGGTTCATGAGTGAGGGCGGAGCAGGGAGAGAGGGAGAAAAATGAGGAGCTAATGGCAAGGGCTTAAGTGGAAAGCAAATGTTTTGAGAATGATGAAGGCAACGGATGTACAAATGTGCTGGACACAATGGATGGATGGATGGATTATGATAAGAGTTATATGAGCCCACAATAAAAAGATTTTAAAAATAACAGATTGAAATCATAGAACTATTTTCAGAATGATACAAATACTATGATACCTATGAGACTTTAAAAACAGAAACCACTTTGAATGCCTATGATGTGAAAAATATATGTATATGTATATGTAAACATTTCTTTCCCTTTTTAAAATTTTTTCCTTTGCTTTTTTTATGTAAACATATTTTAAAAGAATTGAAAAGATCTAAAGAAAATTGGTAGGAGGAGAAAGGATTGAGGGGGAATTAATCTGTAATATTCAGTTTTGTTGTTTTTGCAAAATGGCAACTCTTTGATTCATTAAATATTTTTAAAAGCATTAAATGATGAAATAAAAAATTTTGATTGTTCACAGAGACACATGTTGATAGTGGGAATATGGTGAATGCTTGTATTTTAAAAATTATATTTTACAATCATTTTAAAGGACCAAAAGACTCACAAAAGAAGAAATAAATTAGTCATAGTTCTTTTCATATCAAAAGGTTGGAAGAAATACAGAACAATCAATTACCTGCCTACCAGATAATCCTGTTTTTCCAGTGGAACATGAAAAATAAACAAGGGAGGACAAGCCAGGGCACAGATTTCTTAGTGAAAAGGTTGTGTTCTGTTTTCATCATGGTGCTCCAGTTAATCTTTCAAAGAACAATGCACTTGATCCCTCACCCTGAAAAGCCATCCACTGGAAACGTCAGGCACAACGTCCTGAATAGAAATCACGTGTCGTGACTCAGGCCGTGGAGCACTGATGTCATTTCTCGCCGCCTGACCGCACTGCTTTTGAGAAAGGACATTGTGATTTTTTTGCTCAGTTTCACAAGCTGCGATGCTGACCAGCGTGCTGTGTAGCAAACGCTAATTTTGTTACTCTTCTGCGGGAGGAGGGCTTCATCCCGTGGGCTCTGTAATTGTATCTGGTAAACTGGAAGATGTGAGGTATCAGCCGTAGCACCTGCCGGATTATTTCCACTGCTAGTGGGACTCCATTCGTCTCATGCCACTTTCATTTCCAGGGCTTTTGTCTTGGTGCCAAGTAGCCTCTCGCTCCTCCTGGAAGACTTTCATCAGAAATCAGTCCTGAAGCTTGCCTTTGAGATTGAGACGTGGGAGATGGCAGAGACAGGGCCGTGGTGGCCTTGAGTAGCCGCCGAAGTTCTCCTGCCACGTGGGCTAAAATAAGCGGTGTGTTTCTCTCCCACTCAACTCTGTTGTGGTTTCTCCTTCTTGTGTGTTTTCCAGTTCAATTTCACCATTTAGTATTGAGAGCACAAGACGCCAGAGACGGTCTGAGTCCCCAGACTCCAGAAAACGACGCATCCACAGATGTGACTTTGAGGGATGCAACAAAGTGTACACCAAGAGTTCTCACCTGAAGGCTCATCGGAGAACACACACAGGTACATCTCCGTGAGACCCTTCCCCGGAGGGGCAGTGAGTGCGGGCAAATGCTTGCTCTCTCGCGCCCCAGCTTTGTGACCTTCAGAAACCAGTGCAGCATTCCTTCTGCTCATGGCTGTGAATTCAGGGGTGTGGTTTTTAGATGTATGGACACAGGGGGTTCATTTTCTGGCTTACAGCACGGTGGACCACTTACATAGTCTTACGTGGCTCATCAGGTTCAAACGTGCCCTATCGGCCCGTCAAAGAGCAGACACACACCGTTCCCCTCTCTCAGAGTTTATGTTTCAACCACCTCACCCGCTTCAATCTTATTTTTCCTCCCTCCTAGCTTACCACTAAATAACCAAACAAACCATTGTGCCCCAAACAAACAAGCACATATACGTATGCGTAGCACTTTGGATCATTTTATAAACACGTACCCATAATTCAATTTGATTTTTCACAGTTTCTTATCTCTCTTATATAGGGAGAAGATTTTTTTTTTACTATTCAGATTTTTCAGAGAAGAAAATTAAGACCACTATCTAGAATTCATCCATCCATCCATCCATCCACCAATCCATCCATCCATCCATCCATCCATCCATCCATCCATCCATCCATCCATCCATCCATCCAAGAAATTAGTTTGTGACTCTTCACTTGACCCTTTAGTTAGCATCATCTCTTCCCTGTCTTGACTGCCCCTTAGCCAACAGCTCCTGGCTCCACTTCCCCTTGGATTCTTTTGGGTACCACCCATGGGAGTCACTGACAAGGGACTGAGGTGGGAAGAGGGCCCCACAATTCCACTCGGCTTTTGATTCAAAGTGACTGAGGACCAGGGTGTGTGAAGCAGGTAGAACCAGAAGTTCACTCACATACTCCCCTGGTAATAGGGCCTCCAAGCTCAGCAGACTCACTTGTCAGGTAATACAAGTATTCCCATCTCAGGTGCATTAAAACCACTGCAACCGGTGTTCTCTACGGGAAACCCGATCATTTAAATCGCCATTCTTCTCCATTTGTTTAATTATTTTAGAATATTCCCACAATCTTTTTAAAATCATTTTATTGGGGGCTTGTGGGGTTAAGGGTAAGAGGGAACCCCACAAAACATCACAGGTTTGGTAGGCGCAATTGTACAGTGATAATAAGTAGAGATTATAGTAAAGTCATAGAGAGCATGAGAGTTAAAGGATAGAGTCAAGTAATGGAGTCAGACGCAATTCATGGTAGCATATCTCA